GGAGATGCCTGGCTTGGCCGTGGGGGTCTTGGGTCGGCCCGTCTCGGGCTATTTCTGTTTCCTCACCTGCTACGTATAAGGCTCGCCGTCGGGCTCCTCAAGTCCCCTCCCTGTTCTGGCAACACCTGGTCCTGGAGACGGTTCCAGGTGCAGGACCCGGTCACGTTTATACAACAGTTGGGTGCCCCACCTGAGTTGAGCCTCACGATAACCCCCCCACATAGCGGGCAGGTGCAGACACGACTGTTCCCATGGCACAGACGGGGAGACGAGGCTCAGGGGCAGTGGCACTGGGGCCGGAAGACAAGTGTCGTGCCAGGGCTCCTCTCTAGGCTGTGGGGGCATCCAGGAGCTGGGCGCCTGACCAGACTTTTCCCCCATCCCCCAGGAGCCGGGCCGGGCCCCGTAAGCGGCCGCTGACCCTGCTGCAACGGGCGGGGCTGCTGCTGCTGCTGGGGCTGCTGGGCTTCCTGGCCCTCCTCGCCCTCATGTCTCGCCTGGGCCGGGCTGCGGCCGACAGTGACCCCAACCTGGACCCACTCATGAACCCTCACATCCGTGTGGGGCCCTCCTGAGCTCTCGCCTGTGGCTGGGCCAGCCTAGGACCTGGGGGCCAGAGGCAGGGAGGCCTGGGGGCCCTGCTCCCCACACTTCTCCCTCGAACCTGAGACACTAAGAGCCCAGGTCCAAAGCTGAGTCCGCAGAGTGGCTGCAGGCAGGGCCTGGAGTCCCCGCAGCCCAAGCTTTTTCCTGACCTGCCTCCCCTCAGCCTCCAGCCTCCCCTGCTGCCTACGAAGGAGCTGACAGGTGGAAATAAACAACAGACTTTATTCAAAGACCAAGGTGCCTTTTCCTTCCCCCTTCCCAGCCCACCCCAGCCCCAGGCCTCAGTGGTTCTCTTTTCGGTATTCGATGGCCAGAAAGTCCAGGGACAAGCGGCTGAAGAACATGGCTCCATTTAATACTGGGCAGAGGAGAACACTCCCGTCAGCCCCTGTCCTTTCCCTGCCTGCCCCCACCACGTCTCTGGGCTCCTGAGCTCCCCACCCTCAGCACAGTCCCCTGCCCCTGACTCACTCAGGACGATCAGGGCAAAGCAGCGAACGTACTGGTCATCCATCATCTCAGCTTGGAGTGACCCCATGGCAGCCCAGGAGATGCTGATCACCTGGGAGAACTGTAGGTCCGTCCAGTGGGAGAGTGGCCCCCGACACAACAGTGGGCTGCCACCAGCCCTTCAGGGCTCCCCCAGCCAGCCCGTGGACCCCTGGCCCTACTATCAGGACGATCGTGTAGCGGAAGCTCATGCGGTCGTAGTGGTGGGTGACGTAGAAGTTGTGCACGTCGCTGGCAAAGACACTCAGGTGGACACAGAGCAGCGTGAATGCCGCCATGGTGAGCATCAGGCCTGGTGGGAAGAAGAGCACGGCCAGGCGGTCGCGCCAGCGCATCCCGGCGGCCAGAGGCTCGAGTCCAGCAGCAGAGCCTGACCGGCTGCCACTGCCCCAGGAAGCGCACACCCTCCTGCTCCAGAGAGGACAGCCTGGAACAGCAGCAGCGTTCTAGAACGGGAACACGGAGGAGAATGAGATTCCAGAACACGGGCTGGGGTCTGCTAGTCCAGAGTTGTGCAGGGGGTGCTAGTAAAGGCACTGATGAGGGGCCCATCCCACTAGTGAAGGGACAGCCTCCCGCACCCCCCCAGAGTGTGCGCCTGCATTTCTCCCCAGTCCCAGAGGGCACACAGTGGGGGCACGTTCTGCGGATGATGAAGGACTCGGCACAGTCGGGGTGGGTCCCAGGATGAGGCTAGGACCCAGGTCTGGGGAGGCTTTGGGATCACCCCCCACCAAGTTCCAAGTATTTGCTCCGGCCCTGATGGGGAGGACTTAGGGAGGGGACAATAGTGTCCTTTGGCACTATTCCTAGTAGCTTCCCCATGCCCTCCTCAGATGGGGCCCAGAGAGCAACTGGGTTTTTCATTCCTCTCCCAGGTGTTACTTCAGGACTCCATGCTGACTTGTTCTCTTTGCCACCCTCAGGTGCTCAAAGCATTTTCACACCCATCATCTCCCTCCCAGTGGCTCAAGAGGAAGCTTGGGCTGGTGGCGTGAACCCCGTTTTGCACATGAGTGGGAGGCACAGAGGGAATCTCTTGGTCCTGGCGGCACAGCCAGTGGATGAGGGACTTGGTGTTGAAAGCGATCATGAGGCTGGTGACTGGGCAGGGGCAAAGCCAGGAGCAAGACAAGACCGCCATCTGTGTAAGGCAGAGCCCCGAGGCTGTCAACGAAATATGTTGGAAAGAGCCCAAAATGGAGTGGTGGGACATACGCTGCCAGGAATTGAAGTAGGAGAGAAGAGAGGAGAGGAGGAAAGGACTGAAGCTGAACTCAGCCCCCCTATAGCCTCTTCCCTAACCACCTGCCCTGCAAAATATTTCCTAGGTTAGCCAACCCCAGAAGTCCTACCTCTCCGAAGCTGGACTGGTGTCCCACACCTGCCATCTTTGCTTGCTGCCCAGTCAGTGTTAGTAATCACAGCAGTCCCTCAGACCCTCATCCCTACCACGTTAAAGGGGGTGATGCCCTTTGTGTCCAACCACGGTCCCACTGCTGAAACTATTGGTTTTGCCTCAGCTCTGATTTAAACAAATTATCCAACTAACATGTGAGTATGTTCTTGTAAAAAATGTGAATACCATGCCAGCATACAGAGGAAAATGTGACAAGTCTCCCTCCTCTATTCCCACCCTAACAGAGGTAACCCCTTCAGCAGTTTGGTGGGTGGCTTCTGGACCCTTCTTCTTCTTCTTTTTTTTTTTTAATTGTGATTTGGGTGAAAATTTACAGAGCAAATTCACTTTCCATACAGCAGTTCACATACACTTTGTCTCATGACATTGACCACAATTTACCACAACGCAACAGCTGTCCTCCCACTTCCTCCCTATAGTTACCTCTTCCCTGTGTCCATCCCTCCATGCACCCCTGCCCCCTAAGCTGTCTCCCTGTGTATAAAAGCCCTTCTTTCTCCCATGATTGATCTCTCCAAGGAGTATGTCTACCTCAGGTAAATGTTCAACTCATATGGCTGTCTCTTGTTTGGCTCTGGGCCTTTCTTTATGTGATTTCATGGCACTAGGTTTCAGCAGTCGGAAGGAAGGTTGGGCAATCCTACTTCCGTAGTGATACTGCCTCGGAAACCCAAGGAGGGGTCGCTATGAGTCAGGGCTGACTCGACGGCACATAACAACAACAACAACAGGTTTCAGCAGAGATTCCAGACTAAGAAACAGGGAAGAAGGACCTGGTGGTGTCCTAAAAGGCTTGTCCAGTGAAAACCTTAGGAATAGCAGTGGGGCACTCTCTGATACAGTGCTGAAAGATGAGCCTCTCAGGTTGGAAGACACTGAAAATACGAGTGGGGAAGAACTGCCCCCTCAAAGTGGAGTCCACCTTAATGACGTGGATGGAGTAAAGCTTTTGGGACCTTTGTTTGCTGATGTAGCATGCCTCAAAATGAAAAGAAACAGCTGCAGACATCCATTAATAAACAGAATGTGGAATGTACAAAGTATAAATTTAGGAAACTTAGAAATCATCCAAAAGGAAACAGAACACATAAAGATCAATATCCTAGGCATTAGTGAGCTGGAATGGACGGTATAGGCCATTTTGAATCAGACAATCATATAATCTACTATGTTGGAGGTGACAAATTGAAAAGGAATGATGTCACATTCATCATTAAAAAGAACATTTTGTCTCTCCTGAAGTACAACGCTGTCAGTGATAGGATAATGTCTGTATACCTGCAGGGAAGACCAGTAATACGACTTACTCAAATTTATGCATCAGGAACTAATGCCAAAGTTGAAGAAAGGTTTAACCAACTTTTGCAATTTGAAATTGATCGGACATGCAGTCAAGATGTATTGATAATTACTGGTGATTGGATAGTGAAACTTGGAAACACAGAAGGAGTGGTAGTTGGAAAATACCTTGATGATAGGAACAACACGGGAGATGGCATGGTAAAATTTTGCAAGGCTAATGACTTCCTCATTGTGAATACCTTTTTTGTTTTTTCCCAACAACATAAATGGGGCCTATAACTTGGACCTCACCAGATGGAATACACAGGAATCAAATTGACTACATCTATGGAAAGAGATGACAGAGAAGCTCAATATCATCAGTCAGAACAAAACCAGGGACTGACTGCAGAACAATCAATTGTTCATATGCTAGTTCAGTTTGAAGCTGAAGGAAATTCAGGCATGTCCAAGAGAGCCAAAGTACGACCTTGAGTCTCACTCACCTGAATTGACAGACCATCTTGTAAGGTCGCAGTAAGGAGAAGAGGATGCACAAAAGTGGAGTTAAATGGAAGTTTTTATTCTGTGTTCCCGGGAGAGGTTTACGCGTTCCCCCCGAGAGGGGCCCAGGCCAGGTAAAAGAAAGGGTTTTTTATAGTGATTTTCTTCCTTGTTCTTAGAGGACCGGATTGAGAGCAGCGTATGTGTTACAGGAACCAATAAGGTTAAAGCACCTTATTAGCATGGGGGCAGGAAGTAGAGCTAAAGCACTTCATTAACACTTCATTAACATGTTGTTATGTGCCTTCAAGTCAGCCCCGACTCATAGTCGCTATGAGGGGACTCATAGCGACCCCTCCTTGGGTTTCCGAGGCGGTATCACTACAGAAGTAGATTGCCCAACCTTTCTTCTGAGGAGTGGCTGGTGGATTTGAACTGCCAGTCTTCTGGTTAGCAGTCAAGTGCCTTAGGCACTATGCCACCAGAGCTCCTTTCATTAACATGTTGTTGTTGTTGTTATGTGCTGTGGAGTCAAACCCAACTCATAGCGACCCCTCCTTGGGTTTCCGAGGCAGTATCACTACAGAAGTAGGATTGCCCTACATTCCTTCTGAGGAGTGGCTGGTGGGTTTGAACCGTCAGCGTCTGGTTAGCAGGCAAGTGTCTTAGCCACTATGCTACCAGAGCTCCCTTCGTTAACATAGTGGGCAGGAAATAGTTGAGGGTCTTCATAAACCAAGGTCATGTGCTGGGGTTTAGTATAGGGTGTGGTCATCCACTCCCTTGCTTGAACAGTTCTTGTAATTCTTTCCGGCTTACTCCTTTACCCGCCTGGCCTGCCGTGTTCCCGCCTGACACATCTCAAGAATGGCTTTGTTGCATTGGACACTAAAGACCGAAGACCAGATGAGTTACAGGATGACATCAAGGACTTTGTACGTGAAGAAAGCAAAACATCATGAAAAAGACAGGAACGAGAGAAAAGACCAAAATGAATGTCAAAAGAGACTCTGAAACTCTTGAATGTAGAGTAGCTAAGGCGAAAGGAAGAAATGATGAGAGAAAAAAGCTAAACAGAAGATTTCAGAGGGCAGCTTGGGCATAGTATTATGAAATGTACAGAGGCCTGGAGCTAGAAGACCGAAAGGGGAGAGCATGCTTGGCATTTCTCAAGCTGAAAGAACTGGAGAAAAAGTTCAAGCCTTGAGTCACAATATTTAAAGATTCTATGGGCAAAATATTGAATGATGCAGAAAGCATCAAAAGAAGATAGAAGCTCCCTGTCAGGAGCAGAGATGAGTGAAAAAAAAAAAGCAAAGAAACAAAAGTCCAGAGAACTAATGGACCACATAATCCCAGCCTCCCTGAGACCAGAAGGACTAGATGGTGTCTGGCTATCATTGCTGACCGCTCTGGAAGGAATCACAACAGGAGGTCCCTGGTAGAGTGGGAGAAAAATGTGAAACAAAAAATCATGAAAAGTACAAGGCTTACTGATCTGATAGAGACTGGTGGAACCCCCTGAAACTATGACCCTTAGACACACTGCAAGCCTGGGACCGAACTCATGCCCCGGCTCAACTTTCAGCCAGATGACAGGCTTAAAATGTGAACACCACCAAGAGAAGTATGCACTCATTAGAACAAGCAACCTTATGAGATCATAATGGCAGCATTTCTCCAGCAATAGAGCTTAGAAGGCAGGAAGGGATAGGAAGTTAGGGTGAAGGAAAATATAGTCCATGCAAGAAGGAAGTGGGAAGAGTGCTGTCACATTCTGGGGATGGCACAGTCAAAAGAAAACGTATGAATAGTTGAGAGGGAGACCAATGTGCTCCAAAAACTCTCGCCCAAATCCCAATACAAATAAATACAATGTGGAAAACAAAACTGAAGATGATGGAAGGAATACACAGAGTCACTGTATCAAAAAGAATTGGTCCATGTTCAACCATTTCAAGAGGTAGCATATGATCAAGAACCAATGGTACTGAAGGAAGAAGTCCAAATTGCAGTGAAGGAACTGCCTGAAAAACAAGGCTACAGATATTGGTGGGATACCCATTGAGATGTTTTAACAAACTGATGCAACACTGAAAGTTCACTCATCTATACCAAGAAATTTGGAAT